ATACTTTAACCCCTATTATTTACCAAGTTCTTTGCTTTTCGCGATTGTTACACATAGGAAATGGAACTAAATAATAGTTGAAAGTAAATTGGTTGAAAAAAAATGTTCTTTGTAAAATTAAAAATGAGGTATTTAATTAATAACTTTTGTTATTTAATTAATAACAATAGTGAAAAAAATAGGGTGGTTTGCATTAATATTAGACATAACATCATTCGCGACCCGCACGGCAATAGCCACTGCTCGTTATTTACTATGGGTTCTCAACAACTAATGGCTGACCTGCTGGCGTTCATTCAACACGCCATCGACAGTATGGACGAGGTCAAACTTCAAAGAAAAAGAGATTTGCACTGGCAAGGCGCTGCTTTGCCGCACGCTCGGCAAGCCCGAGCAGATGCCACTTCGCCGGAGGAATGGAGGAACGAAGAGTCTCCAGGACATCATTACGCTGTTTAAGGAGACCGACCCAGACGACAGGCCTGCCTTCGTGTAGAAGGAGCTGCACAAGCTGCCCCCTGTCACGTTCGACCATGTCGATGTCACCAGGTTACTGAAGGACATCACGTCCCTAAAAGCATGCCTTGCTGAAGTTCGGTGTAAATTGGAGGCCTCGGAGAACACCATCGGTGATTTACGTGCCTAAGTTGTGTTACTTAGTAGTCCAGCTTCTGTATATGGGTCACCCGAGGCCTGCAATGTGAATACTTGTCGCGCAAAACGCTTCCATCGATAGTTTTGAGTCGGCTCATATGGATGTGTCACCGACCGCTGCCGCTGCCGCTGTCGCCGCGCGCGTTTCTCCGCGTCCCGCCCCTCGTTTTTCCGCCCCGGCGGAGACGTCACTCGTAAGCACGTTGACCCCTCGACTTGATTATGCTGCTGTTGCCGCTGCTACCCAACCCATTGCTCCACAAACACAACCCAGGCAACCAACCAACGGAGGGGAAGAGAAAAAGCGAAAACTCATCTCTGGAGCTGTGTCGTCAGTACCACCGAGAGGAGCTTCAAAAAGGTGGAAAATAAAAAGAAGTACACTAGCCGCCGAAGTAGACTGGCCCCAACCATCTATTGCGTCCAACAACGGTACCGACAACGTTGCTATACTTATCACGACTTCATTACTCCACAAAGTCTGCGGATATTGAGGAGTACATACGGGTGAAAGCCAAAGCTGCCCTGAAGGACGAGGAGTTGAATTCCGAGCAAATGGAACATGACACCCGAAGAGTGTTTCCGAGGACGGCTATCAGATACTCACGTTGCGTCACTCGTCGCGGTCCATACGTGTAAATAAATAAATAGTTTTTTTTATTATGCATGTTAGTCTATAACGTATGTGTTTTATGGGTCTTTTGTAACCTGAAATAAATAAATAAAAATAACTGGTTGATGACTGTACCACCTCAGTCAACCGTGAACTTAGGACCTGTAAAGGGCCCGAAACGATTTAGATCCGGAAAAATAGTTTCATTTCCTAAATTAATATTATCATTTTACATTATCGCTTTTAATTACTTCAATTTTACTGTGCTTTGTAGCAAAAAGAATAAAAGTGTACAAGGTGTCAACGTTACAAGGAACAATTTTTGGTGGAGTAATTAAAAAAAAATGTCACGGTAGTAAAAACATCAATAACAAGTCTCTTTTTTTATAATATCACTTTTTTGTTGCGCTAAATGTACTAGTAGGTATGTATATGCTTCTAGTTAACATATTATAGTAAATTTTATGTGAAGTGGCTTATCCGTCTTATACTTGGGATCGCATAAGCATGATTTATTTTCAATCCGAACATTTCGTGTATTATTATCTACTGGCACTAAGCAAGCTTTGGAACAAATTGGGACGTGCGTGGGGACTAGAAAAACATCGTTGTAAAAACAATACGTTCACATAAATGTGCAAGATACATTAGAAACGTCAACCATACCAAGATGGCGGCTTTGTCTCCCCTTTTGTTTTGTTTTCCGTGGGGAAATCTCCGAGGCTGGACACTTACAGGCTAAAACCCCACGGTGCTCTTCTCGGGTGATCGACTTAGCGCACCGGAACGCCCCCAGTACCTAGGAGGAGCTACGTCCTCCCCCTCTCCTCCTCACCAGCCCCGTCGTCCTCCTCGCGACTGCCAAAGCGAAGGCCCCCGCTCCGAAGAGAGATCTCGCCCGATCCGGGCAGCCAAGGTGTTCCGCTCGGAGGCCCATGCGGGGCACTCCTCCAGCATGTGCTGGGAGGAAGCCTGGTCCCTCCTACAGTGGTGGCACTGCGTCGTCGACTTGCGTCCGATTTGGTTCAGATACTCGCCGAAGCATACGCGCCCGGTAAGTATCTGTGCCAGCCGGAACGTGGGACTCAACCAGACTTCGAGGTTGGGAGGATCGGGCCGATGGTGCGCTGGCGCGCGATCCACGGCTATCGCGCCACTTCTCGAACGCCCGGGCGGCTTTGTCCCCCTCTCTAACCCTAACGTTACAAATAAAGAAACAAATCGTGGCATATTAAGTTTAAAGGCTTAAGGCTTAGTAAGGTAAGGCTTTCGCGATTGTTACAGTAAGAGAATGAAACTATTTTTTTTCGGATATATATCGCACATACTTATTTGATTTTTCAAACCAACCAACACTTCGTATACTGTAAAAGTCTCATGGTCACGACTGACAGCCAGCCAGATCTAAGTCGTGTATATTTTTAATAAATATACGCGATGTGTTGTTTTTTACCTCACATCATCATCAGTTGCTGCTCCACGAAACAATCTAAAAATATGCAATTTTGTAATATTTGTGTCATTGTCGACGATGATCACCTTCATAATTTATTTTGTTTATCATCATATTATTATAAAGTTTTCTTACTTCTCATCACTAATTTCAATGTATCTGAAAAGAAAAAAACGTTTTTATCATATACTTTTCCATCATTGCACGTAATTACTTCACTTCAACTGTTTATTGCCTCGACAAATAAACCCAAAAGGATTACAAGAAATATGCTAATAGTAGTATCAAATCAACCTATTGAACTTAATTGTATACATCGCACTTAGAGCCCCCGCAGACTGTAGACTTTCTATCGACCAATATAGTTCTGTCGGATCCTTAATCATTATAAAGATGTATGCAAGTGCACACATTGTAACGATTCGGTATCGTTGATTCTATTGAATATCAACGTGTTACGGATATAGATATTCAAATATTTTTCTAAAATAACTCCACAATTATTTCTTCCTTCTACAATTGTTAATACAAATATCTAACCCAAAGAAAAATTTCGTCGACCCAACAGGACTCTAACACAGGACCACGCCAAACAAGGGCGATGCGCTACCCACTGAGCTACAGGTTCAGTCAGCGGATCTTACGAATTTCTCTATGTTTGTTATGGATCTTAGTATTGATTCTATATCGAATAATAAATAAGTTTAATGGACTGCACGATTGCTCTCAAACTTATGTGTCGGTAAACAAGCGCGCACTCTTCTCAAAACAACTCTTGGTGATTCTTATTTCCATGAATAAAAGCATAATAAAATTTTTGTAGCCTTTTTATTTTCATTTTGCAATCGCTTTCTTTAAAAGCAGTCTTTTTTTTAAATAAGTGAGCTAGTAAAGATTTTAACTCCATTTCTCTTGATGGAAAGTATCGATGAGGTCGGTAATGCAGCATGCACACCTAAATAATCCTTGTCTGTTTACCAATTAGCAAAAATTTTCAACCGACTGCTCGCTGCTTTGTGCACTCATCACAAATCAAACTGTGTACTTGGCCCAGTGTACGCGCTAGCAGCTCAACTCGACTTAATTATCGGCGGACAGCAAGTCTATAGTTTAAGGGGGTCCTTATGCAACCAAGTACAATATCACAATAAACAAAATAATAATGACCTTATAACAATTAATTTAAGTAGTATGTATACTCGAACTAGACGTAAATATAAATTACCTACACGATAAGTTCAATGCCCTAAAGTAGATTTTTAACAAAAGTTGTACAAATATTTTTTTTTAATTATACCAAGTGACATGACTTACCACTTGGAGGCAGAAATAAGTGCGGTATCGTATACAGTATAGATATAGGTGGTATGAACACCTTATATTAATACAGGCACTTAAGCAAATAGACATTTCAATTTGTAACGCTATTGTTGTGTGTATATTTCATACTCTAGTTCCAGTTAAAATTCATATAAATCCGAATCCGCTCACACTTTTGTCGCTGTCATACACTTTACAAGTGGTACACGTGTTACTTCCACAACATTAAACATACCCACATCATGTTCTCTGAACTCTCCTGTACGCACATCATAAAACAATTAATTCAGTTATGATATTTAATTATTGTGATTGCTACAAATTGGAAATGAAACTACTTTTTTCGGATCTAATTCGCGTTTTGTTTAAAACCAACGTTTCGGGCTTTTTACAGGTCTCACGATCACTGCTGCTTTTCGAAGTAGTGGTATTTTATCATTGTATTAGCAAATATTATGTTTACCTTCTATCACTATCCTCACGAATCAATCTGAAATATTTTTATTACTCCGTTAGTCATCATCAACATATTTATTCCTTTAGGTTAGTGTTTATTTTAGTTTAGACAGGGTGTAAACAGATCCCTAACGAGGCTGAAACATACGCAGTGTACATCAAATACATCAAACTGATGCACATGAAAAATAATTGCTGGAAAACAACTTTTATTTGTAGTTACTAAAAAATAGCTGGTTTCATAAGATGCGCAATGTAACGCGTGCAACAGAGTGCGGGAGTGTGAGTGTTTTCAATCTGGGTTCAGTCCTTTCATAGCGAGCGGTCTTTGCGGAGTGAGCTAGGTGGTGGAAAGGTAAAAAATGAGTTTCAGTTTTTGTTTTGTGTAAAAAAAATCACTTTCAATTATTAAACACATAGTGAACACTATTAATTACATGTATTCCCATTTTTGGCACACTAATTAACCTTCTAATTTATTTATAATTTCATCTCAGAATAAATGTCCTATGTCTGATCTGATCACGTTAAGTCCCTATATATTGACATTGCGGATTCCAAAGCCGACTTATCTTAACTCGCCGAGTTCGCTTCTCTCACTCGTTAGATGTGGAAGCATTTCCAGAAAACTTACTGTTACGAGTCAAACAGAGCCTGTACGAACTCCGCTGGAAACTCGCTCAACTCTGCGACTTCTTTTGTAATTTTTTTAACTCGCTCAGTCCACACCGCTCACTTGTTTGCAGTGGAAGCATTTTTATGAAGTTTCCTGTTGAGAGTCGAACGGAGACTGTACTGTACTGAAAAGCCGGCTTTAGGGTCCACTGGAAACCAGCATCACATTATTTTCTCTATTGTGACATTAGCTGAGTATCCATTCAATGCAATGCAAAAGGATCACCTTTTGCATACGCCACACCCGCACACATGACATTTATTCAAGTTGTGTTGACTATTTAAAATTTTATATGTTGATTCGTTATTTTTTTACTTTCAAAAAAATGAGGAGGTTCTCAATTCGACTGTATTTTGTTTTTTTTTTTGTATGAATGTTACGCGATAACTCCGGCTAAAATTTGTGAACCGATTTTGAGGATTCTTTTTTTGTTGGAAAGAGGGTACATCAGAAGTGGTCCCATTTAAAATTGAAGCAAATATTCCACCTCTAAGGGGGGAAACTAGGGGATTAATAACTTTTGAGGTCGGTTTTTTAGTACTCTGTACTGTAGGGCTAGCACGATATGGCGCGACTTGCGCGAGAGCGACTTATGTCGCGCGAGATCTATATGCGAGAATGGTAGTATCTCACACTTTACATCGCTCTCGCGCTAGTCGTCCTGTATCGTAGTCGCGCAGTTTCCCTTAGATACATACATAGTCCCACAAAACTGAGTATTCAGTTTGACTGTGGGATCAAACGAATCTCTTTTATAAAGATAACCTTAAAACTGGGTAACAATCGGCGAATACTTCAGGCCAATTGGCAAATCCTTTCAACACGATTGTAAGTAATTATAGCGTATTTCATCGACATAATAAAAAGGTTCTTATTATTTATATCTACTTAACCAATAATGTTCTATAGATATCATTATAATTATTTTACCTCGAGTCCTCACTTGTTCCATGATTAATAAATCTGAAAACATAAAACACATTTTATGTAAGACATATTTATTTTGCTTGCACATACTATTACTTCCCTGCTGTAAAAGTAAAGAACTACCCAGGACATTAAAGTTACAAGACACTTCTAAGTAAAACTTTGCTACCAAGATACGTACGAATGTCAATCTTATGACTATGAATCTAATCTGAGTATGTTAGACGTAAATACAATTTTCTCAAAAATGCTCGGATACGTTAGCATTATTTTCGAAAAACGAACACGGCAGTTTGTCATTTACGGACCATGCGATTACTTCCCGGCCAAGGCCTGCAAAGTAAGTATGAAAATTCATTACTATCCACTTCTCTAAACTTTTAAAATCTACCTACTGTAGATGTACCAGAATCCCATGGTATTAAATATTAGCAAAATCAAACGACTTTCAACTGGCAATATTAACTTGTCACATGTCAATTCAAAATATTACTTGTGTCAAATAGCTATCTGCTATACTTTTTTCATTTTAAAATAAGGATTTTGTAGCAAAATTACTGAGAATCGGCTCCAATCTCAAGCAAAAAACATTGCAATAATGTTTATATCGGAAAATCAGCGATGAATTAGGTGCATTTAAGTCACATTTCACAATTTAGAAGTGGGTCTCAAATCTTGCCAATTAGTAGGAGTAAATAAACTTGATCTTTGAAATTTTAACGATGCCAAATCAATGTATGTAGTGCCATTGTAATTTTTACTGGTACTGAGGGCAAGACTACAGTGTTTAGACTACAGAGTGGGTAAAAAAAAGATAAATGGCGTAAATGCGAGTTACTACAAACTGCAAACGTAAATTATCTTTTAATCACCCACAATGTAATTGATATATTTTTGTTTAATTTTAAAATGTGTCAGAAATTACTTACCTTTCTCACACACAAAATTCATACAGATCTTAAAACATGTACGAGGTCAGGTCAATTCTGATCAATTAAGATAATATATGAAGTACCTAGTACATTTTTACCTATTATACTGATGTTGCCCCTATAAATTTAAAATTGTCTAAGTGCCATCAGATTCTGGTACACTTTTAATAATGAACGTAATAAGGCAAAAGAAAAACTCATACAGCCAACTGCCAAGTGTTCGTAATTGCGAAAATTAAAAGTACCCACATATACCGCTTACTTAAAAAAAAAGGCTGTAAAATAAACTAAAATGCTTTGATATTCTTTTCTGTTTTTTTGGTCATCTTTTCTATGTTCGTCGCGAAAATAAGTTCTAATAAGAAAAGCTTAAAAGATAATGAAAATAAATATTCATAGATATACAATAAATCGCGTCATCAGAAGTCCAGCAGTCAACTATTAAATGTGCCTGGAAAAACTATGTCAAATATTAATAATTAATATCAATAAAAATTTAATTATTACAGTGAATAGCGACATCTCTCGCCAAGATTGGTAGCTGTAAAGGTACTAACTGGGTGATAAATCTGTAATAGATTTCTCATAGATGGCGCTACGACTAAAAAGTCGTTGAAAGACCAAGTACAAAGACACGACGCAAGCACATAGAAAAATTCGTGAGGTCCGTTGGTTCGTTCCGTGGCTTAGTTGGTATAGCGTCTGGCACGGTATGCAAGAAGACGTCGGTTCGAATCCGACCGGATCGAAGGAATTTTTTCTGAGTGTTTTTTCTGAGTGTTCGATCTTTGTATTAATAATTATAACAATTTAGTGGAGTAATTTCACAAAAAATAATTGAATATCAATTCAATAAAAATTTAATTATGTCAAATATTACTTTAAATTTTAATTATCTTTTTTTTTACTTTTTTATTATACATCTTGTTCTCTTTAGTCATCTATTATTTCCTCTCATTGTTTGAGAAAATCACTATAAAGCCTCGGCGGGAACGGGAATTGCTTGACTCGTATTAATACAAGGCCTTGTAAGTTAATTCGTAAGTTGTTTCACAATTATCTTGATATAGGTAGCCATTAATTTGTAACAACTAATTTTTTTATTGGTAAATATAAAAAAAATCTTTAAAAAAAAAGAAAAATGCCCAAAAATATGCCTAAAATACAGAAATTATACATTATTATAGAAAATACAATTACACATTTACTTAGTTTAGGCATCCCAATAACACAGGCTCTAATAATTAAAATGTTTACTATGAAGATTCTACAATTTAAATTTCCTTCTTAATGCTTATTTTACCACTATAATAGCTTTATTTACATGTGTTTTACTTGTATTGTATTAGATTAAATTGTATTGAAATAAATGTATCTTTACATTTAATACTAACTTACAAAAAATGCTTACTTTCTTACGTCATTAAGAACTCTGAATAAGAAATAAAAAGAGCATTTTTACTATTGTAATTTACAATTTATTTTATGGGCAAACAAATTACTTTCGAAATTAATACATCATCAATCCATTTATACGTCACACGGTTGGACAACATTCCCTTCTCATGATGCGAGTGTATAAGCCATAGTCCGGCACGCTGGCCCATTGTGGGTTAGGGACTTCATAAGGTTTCCGAGGGTTGTGAACGTTCTTAGGCGCGCACGTTTCATTACGATATTTTCCTTCACCGAATAACAAATTTAATTTAATTTAATTTAATTTAATTTAATTTAATTTAATTTAATTCCGCATATAAACTCCAAGACACTCAGAATTGCGAGGCCGGATTCGAACCCACGGCTTCTGCTTGAGAGACGGTAGGTCATAGCTATGAGTAGGTCAAACCATTATTGCACCATGGCTTCATCTAATTTCACATAATTTTTATATGGAACAAATTAGAAGCTTGAGCGGTTATTTCTTATTGCTATGGTAAGAGCCCTCGCAGACTGTAGGTTTTCTATAGGCCTATAGTTCAGTCGGGTCAGTATGAAGATGTATGCAAGTGAGCATGTTAGTAACGATGCGATATCGGTAGATAAATAAGTGTGATGTGCTACTAGATTGCCTTCAAGTTGATCTGTCGGTAAACTATAGGCCGTTTACTAAATCAGAATGGCGCTCACCCACGCGTGTCCATTTGCTGATTGTTTAGCCGATGCGCCCAATACTGTCGGTCTCTCTTCGTTACACTTTTCCTCCATTGTATAAAAGCAATAATAATTAATACATTCAGGCATTACTTTGCGGACGTCCATGTTAATAAAATTGGAAGTAAATTAAGTTGCTACCACCAAATCAAGGTTTACGGTACTCCGCGAAGTAAAATAAATAAAATAGGACATACTTCTAATTTTATAAAGCAATTTCAACTTCTGGAAAATTACACAATTTAATTTCATGCAATTCAAAAGCAGCAACCAATTAGCATAATTTTTCGAGAGTAATCGGTAGACTATTCGCTGCTCTGCGCATTGACCACCAACCAGACTGCTTGGTTGACCCACCTGTTTGATTGGTTTACCTATCGGCGAATAGAAAGTCTGTAGTTTGCGGGGACCCTAAGACAATTTGATGGCGAGACGCTTGTCTAAGTAGTTTTAGGAAGAGGGAGAAGGGCGAAATAATTAAAGAATCCTTGAATTTGAAAAAAAATTCTCGTCAAAAAGAATACAAAATTCAAAAGGAATAAAATTCATAAAATGTATCAAAAACTAAGTGCTCGCGCACACAACTCACCTTCTACACATTGCCAATACAAATGTGTAAATTAGCTTAAAATTTTACTGTATTGTCAAGTGATACAATAGGTATAGAAAAAACAACGACTTTTCTCAATAAATACACTTAATACTTACTTTGTATCATTGTGTTCTTTCCTGAATCAAAGAAATTATTCATCTTAGTGAAATTCATTAATTTGAAAAATTTAAAAACGCATAGAAGCAAGCGCCGGACTGCTATAACAACATTGATCTATATTTTTCACTTTATGTCGTAAAATTACGTAGCTTATATTTGTTCCATAATATAGTGATGTCAAAAGCAATTTTTGATGTCATATTGCAAGATACATTCTTTCATGATACAACAAGAACATGGGTTATCAAACTACAACTACACTTTGTTAGGCTGATAACAGATTGACTACATGTTTGCAGTTAATGCGTGAGGTCGTTATCCGAGACCGAACAGCTCATGGTAAATTTAAAATTAAATGCACATAAATTTCGAAAAACACAGAGGCGCGAGCCTGGAGTCGAACCCACGCCCTCTGCTTGTGAAGCGGTAGGTCAAACCATTAAGCAACCGTGACTTCTTTAATTTTCTTTTCACACAGTACTTGTATTGCTCGAAGCTAATAACAATAATTATAATAGACAATAACAACAATAAGAATAAATATGTTTATTTCTCACTACAAAATATTGTCTTGTAGACAATATAAATCTTAGTAGGTAAATTACAGTAGTATATTGTGGGAGCTGGTGCTTGATGTAGGTATTTCACCAGTATTACAAGTCACCGGGCCCCATCCCTTGAATAATGAGACTTATTGCTAAGTAATGAGTAGTAAGTGGGTAGATGATTAAACTTGTTAAAATAAGTAAAACCTTAAAAATAAAAAGTAAGAGTAGACGGTACTTATTATTAGCGTGCGAACTAGATGCATGTATGTGTGTGTGTGTGCGCGTGCGTGCGTGCGTGCGTGCGTGCTTATGTGCCTGCACGCGAGTGGGTGGGCGTTCATGCGTGTGTGTGTGAAACTAATAGAATTTAGTGTATTTCTGCTTGCACTATATTTTAAAAACCACTTAATCAATTAGAATAAAAATAGAATTGGCCGCGTTTTTTTAATATGCTTCTGTTAATGATGCTTACGTGTGTTCATAATCAAAATTTAGTAGGAGTAGAGCTTCTTGTGAAAAATTTTGATCCAGTTAAGTACTACCACCATATTCATTTCTGCCGCCAATCCATAATGGAAGCATTTTACTGCATTCCAGTTTTAAAGGGCAAATCCAAGAGTACATGGGATTTTATGACTTAATGTCAAATTGTCAAATCAAATCGGTCATTTAGAGCTAAAATTTTTGTGTTTTAAATGGCTCTTCAAATGTTATGGGTAGGCGTGTCGCTTACCACCAGGCGCATTACTTGTTCGTCCAGTACTTGATGTTTAAATAAAAAATAAAAATAAAAATAAAAATGTGTTGTAACTATTACCAAAAACTAGTCATTTGGTCTTCTAAATTGTGTAATAAAAAGAAATAGATATCACAGTCGAAGACCGTGGTCGAGTGAATTGCACACCAGTTTTGATAGAGTCGCCATCTCTGATGACCCGGGTGCGACCCCGGCCGCGTTAATGATGAAAAAGAAATGTATCTTATCTTAATGTAGAAAAGCTAACTTTTCTAAATTGTCTTGGGTCTGAGTGTTTCTGGTACCGTCGTTGTATCCAATTTCCATAACACAAATACTGCTGGAAGAGCTACATGCTTCTAAAGAATTGTAGTCTGAGATAGTGTGCCCGTGTTGATGTGATAGTGAGCCAAGGAATTACTCTAAATATACGTTAAGGGATACTAAACTTCAATTATTTACTTTGGTATCCGAGCAACGTATGTGATCTTGTCTGACATTTAATTGAACATGGCAAGACAGCAACTAACGTATTTGTGTTGTATAATTTCGAAATTTAATATTTTGGTGTCGCGAAAATTCGGTGTTCTCAGCATTCATCAATTATGCTACTATAGGATATGACATGTTAAAAACTTTAACCAAAACCAAAACCGTTAATTTGCGTTAGCTAAGATAGGATAAGAAAATGTATAACATAACGGCTATCTTGATGGCACATAAATTAGCTCTCTGAACGAAAGTTTATTTTCAGTATAAATCCATCACCATCATCCCATTTATACGTCACACGCTGGCGCAATGCAGGTTGGGGACTTTACACGTTTTCCGAGGACTATGAACCTTCTTCAACGTGCAGTTTTCATCACGATGTTTTCCTTCACGGAAAAGCTCATGATAAATTTCAAATTAAATTTCGCACATAAATTCCGAGAAACTCAGAGGTGCGAGCCCGCATTTGAACCCACGACCCTCTGCTTGAGAGGCAGTAGGTCAGCCCATTAGGCTACCACGGCTTATTACCAGTATAACTAAGATAAGATTATTTTTGAAATGTTTCTAATTAGAGCCATCGTTACTCAAGGTACAAAAAAGTCCCTTAATACCGACAAACCTTTGACAATTTGTAAGTAAGATTATCTGCCATGTTATTATTATTACAGTTTGTTACTGGAGTTATTCCCTTGTCAAATAAAATAAAAGTAAAACTATGTTAAATATCATTTAGCAATTTATTAATTATCGTTATATTGCAATATATTTTAGTTTACAAAATGCCTTGTAATATACACACATAAAATACAATCACGCCTGTCTCCCACTGAATACTGAGAGAATATGAATTTCTATTTGATACGTTCCTAATAAATCTTTTTTTGCCTCTTCCACCCGCATCGTTTTATCAGTTTTCGTAATATATACTCGTTTATTCTCGGTACAACCTCGCATTTATAAGGGCATCTCAAATCTTATCCACATGTACGTTGAGGTGTGCCTCACCCTACGTTCATCCACATTCCATTAATATTCATGCTTTCTGCATGATCAAGCTCCTTTTCTATCCCCACTACATCCTCTTTCAAATCACAATCCTCTCTTACTACCATCCTACGATATTCTGTTTCTGAGACTAATACCGCACTTACTTCTCGAGCTCCAATTTATACAGCATTCGACCTACTTTCATTCTTTTTCTGCTACACTCAACACTCACTAATGTACGTTAGGATTGAGACTACGTCCCGATGATCTGCCAAACGCATCTTTCTCAACACATTTTTGGCCACCCATAAAAACATTCACAACTCCATTCATTCAATTCCGGCTTTCACTCTTCGTTCGATTTCACCTTCTACTTACCATGGTATACAGTTACCATCATATTGCACTGTAACATCAGGATTATCACTGCCGTGCTCACATGCAAGCAAACAAGGGTTAAAGTAGGATTTGTTATCAGTACCACAAACGGGGGAATAAATTCTGATACAAGCACATGCTGTACCATTTACCACAATTATCATAGTAACATCTTGCGCTTCTGTAATTGTTGTTGGTTGCGATGAAGTAACAGATGGAATAACGAAATTTTGGTTATCAATGTGTACTGTCGGCGCTGTTGTATTAGTTGTCTTTTTTGAAACAACATCCTCGTTGGGCGGCATCGCATCGGATACAAATATGTTTTTAATAGTAGTTCTATATGTATCAGATAAACTTATTGATTGTGTGACGGAATCGTTTGATGTTGATGATACCAATTCGGGCTCCGTGTCATTAACCCTTGAACAACAAAGCAGCTGTTAGTGATGTTGAAATTTAAAATTGAACCAGTTGAATGCAAGTAGTTGCTTTTAACTTTAAGGTACATTTTCAAGTTCTTACGCTATGCGTTTAAGATTTCATTTAACATTAATTTATATTCAGAGTTTTTGAAAATGGTCAACCCATCCATGCTCTGTCATTGAACCTGGCTTTAGTGTTATGTCCGATAAGTAGAACTGTAGGAATCGTAAAATAAAATAAAAAATCGATAAGCCGATCCAATAGCGGTGCACAGACGGCCTTGTCCTATACGAGAACACAATGACCAGTAGCTTAATTTACATGAACAAATTGCAAAATATCAACCGCTATCAGCTGCTTTATTGGAATCCTTATAAAATCAAATATATATTATTCATTCTTTACTTTTCTGCCATTCGTAGTAATTACACTTCTTACATGACTTTCGACATTCTAATTTTTTTTTAACTATAAATAATATATACCATTGTGAAAAATTTGCCAGCTCAGCTATTCAGCATATTTATTTTATGCATGGGTGGAACAGAGTGACCGACAAAGCGGAAAACTGTCTTAAAAAGCCAGCCTTTAAATTTTTAATCGTTTAACATTTAATATGTTTTTTATCTTAGCATTCAGGAGTATTTTGCCTGTCTTATGACAATAAAGTTCTGGCCAGTTAAATGGACCTTAATATAGGTATGAAATGGGACGAAAATACAGTTTTAGCGACATCTGGCAACTTTTAAACTTTCTGATTAGTGATATTTGCTTTAGTCTAGTTGGCAACAATGCTTTCTTATCCATAAGTTAGTTAAAAATGGCTGGTTGTATGGTATTCGTGGTTTGATGTTTTTCTCGTGTTTATAACACAAATTAACATTTACTTAATAATTTAAGAGTTGTGGCAGCAACTTTTTGGAATAGTGCCAATATTAAGTATTGTTTGTGTTAAGCAAGTCAAGTGTTTTAGTGTACGCAGTGTTTGTGTGGAAAACCACATCGGCGTGTGATCCAGAAATGTGTCTGGAATGTCTGCAAGAGTAAAGGAACGTAGACATATCGAACATCCTTTTAAAGTAAGTTCTTCAATGTCATAGGTAATGAAATAAATAGAAAGTGATAAACTGTTGTTTTTCACTTTCTATTTCTCCCGCGAGTAGTCGATACGAACGCCGCCTTTGGAGCGATAGATGTACTAACGTCATTAATTCGCTTAGGGTTGTTACAACGCGAAAAGTTTACATCTGGAGGAAAATTTTTCAACTGCTCTGATTTTATATTAAAATATAAAATAAATATAAATAAGCCGCAATTTCAAAACAGCGCCGGCGGTCGCGCGAACACGGGGCGTCGTCGCTTGGAGTGTACACACTGCGCCACTGAACATACTGACTTGTATTGATGTGTCTTGATAACAGGGTTTACACTGCATATTTGAGCGTCCTATTCAATCACTTATCTTATTTAAATCCGTCAAGGCGTTTTCGATAAAACGTTTGAACTTTTTGACACGCCTTGTTTAATGAAAGAACTGATTGCACAATATGATTTATTTTGTTTAATGAATGATGATTTGAAGTCCGTGAGTCTAGCCGTGTTTGAACTTCTCTTAATATCATTTCGAACAACATTATGACATGATTCTTTTCCGGAAGAATCACATTCATAAACTAAACATGAAAGCAAATTGTTGTAATTAGCGTTATTATTAGTACATACAGTATAACCAAAAATATTAAACCACATTGACTATTTATTATAACCCTTTCTCCACGATGGCAAGCATTACATCGTATGCCGTCGTTACGACAAGAAGAAGACTTATACTCACACGCGTGTGAGTTTATTATACCAAGGGCATAATAATGATGATACATACCTAAGAAAAAATTTCTTTTTTACATCGAAAGCTCCGCTTCTGACTTCGCAGATGCAGTTGAAGATAAACATGATACCTGAAATAATGCAGGAATTGTAATGAATGCTACGTCAACGCACTCCTTAAGGCACGAGACTCTTGGTCTGCAAATCATTATAGTTAGTGGACCTACCAGTATATTGTTTTTTTTACACTATTTTTCCTGTAGCACTAGCAAATAGTTATTTGTAATGCAAGGCTGCAAAGCTGCTGTTTAACGCGAGTGCTGGTATTGAAACCAGACCAACGAAGGAAGCCGAGATTGAACCACGAGCGAAGCGAGTTTCGAGACACGAAACACAAAACAACTTTGCTGTCGAGGGAAACACACAACTTTTCCTCGAAACACACAACCTCACTATAGCAAGGAAAATGGTAAATGAACGAAAAAGAGTTGAACTATAAAACATCAGTATTTGTAATCAAAAGAAAAAGTTTACATTCGGACGCGTTCTGTATTTGAATCTCATCAATTTTTATTGTTACCTATATTTCTATAATTTTGTGTAATTGACTCATATTGACTGATTATTTAAATTATTTTAGTTCTTCGACGAATTAAAATAATTTAATAAACACAATTAGTTATCATTGTCAATTTAATGTCCACAATAATAAGAATAAAATATAATAACGGATTTACGTTACATTTACATTTCACCATCCATACATTGTCATCATTCTTTTTTCATTGAAAGAAAAAGTAAGGTGAATTACAGTCCATCGTCAAGTTCGAATTTTCAAAAACCTTTTCCACGCTAGCATGCGAAAACCGCTTTTACGGGCAGATTTCTAATGAGAAAAAAAGCCTTTCCGAGCTAGTGAGGTGAATAAAATATTCTTAATTTGGTCAGTATCATGGACACGTATATCTCAAAATATTTTTGCACCTTTATGTAATGACCTGTATAGGTCAATTACGAAACACACGAGAGAAAATATCGATTCCTCCTATGTAAAGAATCAGAAAAGAGAAAGAACATTATTTATGTAATTATTAATACAAAAATCGAACATAAAAAAATCCTTAAATCCCGCTGGACTCGAACCAGCGATCTCGCCAAACTATGTCAGACGCTCTCCCCACTGAGCTACGAAACGAACCAGAAGGCCTTGCAGATCTCTCTGTGTACTTATTGCAGACCCTTGCCTTTGGTTTTAACGACTTTTTTAAAATAAAATGATCCCTGTGATATTTCGAACCGCCATTTCTCGGACTCGGAACTGACACGAATAGGACATAGTGCACAAACGCTCGTACTGATACAATTGCAGCAAAAAAAAAATCGAAAGGATTTTCCTTTGTGTTCGATCTTTGTATTAATAATAATTAAACAAACTAGTGGAGTTATGGAAAATAAGTTTACATAATAAAAGCTTAAAAACTAGGAAGTTAAACTAGGAATTTTAAATTATATAAATAAAATTGGGTCCCGCGGCAAGGTGTCCAAGATGCCTGTCGTGGTGAATGTGCACCGACCCCACGGCGCCGACTCAACCGGCGGGAGGTAAACCTGGGGGGGGTTTTCGTGGGGTAGGCCCTCCAGTCTGGAGAGAGAGTCCCTACATAACTCCTGAGTCTCCCTGGGCTCAGGGGTCTATAAAGATTTCCCCCCGTAAAAAAAAGTGCCCAAGATGCTAGCAACATTCACCCTTCGAATGTCTATGCTAATGCGTTGGGCAAAGTAGATTTTTGCCCTTAGATTTCCCAGACAGTCTATTAATTTTTTAAATAAAATTTATATTTATTGAATATCATGGTAATAGATATTATTACAATATGGTAATAGATAACAATTTAATGTATTGTAAAGACTAAAAGGAGCATAATACGGAGTGTTTTAGTTATTGCAATTAAATTTGATGCAAGCTCGTTAATTTTCATGCTTTATAACTTTAATGCTGACTAGATACACAAAAAATGAAGTGATTTATGTAAAAATCTACCTTTTTGTTTTTATAATATCGAGTGACGCGACGAACAAGTCGTGCGTCTGGTAGTAAGCTACACGCCCATCCATAACAGTTGCAGTGCCACTCAGAGCTTTAAGTAAAGTTCGCAAAGATCTGAAGGGCACTGCCAATGCGCCCGTCACCCTGTGACTTAAGTTGAAAAGTCCCATGTGCCTGTAATTTCACACAGCACCCCTACCCTTCACAACCGGAATACAGTAAAGTAACTATTACTTCCTTGGCGGCAGAAATAGGTAAGGTGGCAGTGCTTCCCTGGACGAGCTCTTTCACAAGGAGCTCTACTGCTACGTATTTCTGTGAGAGAAGTCAATAATATTGGGTATAAATAAACACTTACAAATAAAGGATGAAAACCACCACATTTTATGTTAATTATTCAAAAACTATTAGGTGTACTGCATTCAATAAATGAATGGAAACGTGATAATAAAGCGTGAGTCCACTTAAAAACAAATTAATTAAGCGTGGCTAATTAAGGTAGCAAATTGCCGAAATTTACGATCGAACAAATAAAGTGCCACGTGATCGTTTTCTGAATTTCTAAAAATAAGGTATCCTTAAGCAGTAGAGCTGGTTGTGAATGAGTTCGTCCAGAGTAGTACTGCCACCTTACCTATTTCTGCCGTCAAGCAGTAATATCAGCATTACTACGGTTCCGGTTTTGAAGGGTAAAGGTGCTGGTGAAATTACGGGCACACCGTTAAGGACAGGTGTGTCGCTTTCCACTCACTTAGTATCATAAGAAAATTACGAGCGTAACGGTAATGCTCCTCAGGTCTTTGCCATTTAAAGCTCTGGATTGAACTGCAGCTGTTACTTGGTATCATTATATGTTTTAATAAACTTAACATTTTTCATAATCAACAATCGAACTCAAGCCTTTGCATATCTGCTTTTTTTTCATTAAGAGTCGATCCAACCTGGTAACCATAAAAATATATATTAAAATTCAAGATATAGGATTAGTTTGTGAAAACACGGTTCCTAAAAACTTTCACGATAGACAAAAAAAACACAAATAAAAAATCTTACAAAAAAACCGCTGTATTCAATAGGTATTTCAAATATGATTCTTTTTTATATCAACTGAACTAAACTGAACACGTGTAGTAAACGATATACATTTTTGAATTGGCTTTAATGTCGTTCGTAATAAAATAAATTCTGAACTATAGCGCGTGTTCCTGTCGCTCGACCCAAACAGAATGAACACCACCAAGCAAAATTTTAATTCGAGCTGTTGTCTACTCTTAAGGAATTTTTCTTTGTGTTCGATCTTTGTGTCAATAATAATAACTTCTAACGTATTATGTTGTGTGCTATATTGTGTAATACGTAACGTACGTCATTTGTATGTGAATATGTAAGGATCTTTTCAATAAAATTTAGAATCGCTTTACCGGCAATCGGGAGTTCTTTTCAATTTTCAGACAAAGAAATTGGCAAAGTCGTTGACACATTTTTATAATCTCCTTCGCCGACGTAATCCAAAGATCTTCATTGATCGTTTGGCAAGAAAAGCCTTTAAAATGTTCTCCAATTTCCTGCCATCAGCCGTTATTATTAGTATAATACTGTGTTTTGCACACGACTTTGTCCACGCAGCAAATATAAACCATGGTAGCCTTAATTATATGACTACTAATCTTACTACTAATTTTTCGGAATTTATTAGGGAAACGTTGTGATTAAATTGCACGTCGAAGAAGGTTCTCAACCCGCACTGGGCCAGTGTGGCCATCAATGGCCGAAACTCGCGCCTGAAACCCGCTCCGATGAAGATACGCCTTTCTACTGACTCTTTTCTAAAACGAAGTAGCTGGCCTCGGTCTACCATGATGACCACAATTACTTGTTTCCACAGAAGTTTAAATCTAGTCGCAGACGCAGAAAGTTCAAAATCCTATAACATTATGTCTAAACCTACATATTCGACAGCGCATTATACAAAAAATATAATGTAACGCACGTGCAAATCAACAGCATCACTAATCGAAAAAGTAAACTTTCTTTTCTAATCTTTTCTACAATAAATTTACATTTGAAAAAGCGAGATTTTCGTTTAGAGATGCTGTTGTTTTCAACGTGCGACATAATTACCTTATTGAATTCAAATACATAGCATTATCAATGACGTTTTACTGGTAAAAAAAATAAAGGTCGATTATATATTTGTAATATACATTTGAACAATGTCTAATAAGTTCAACTAAGAAGAAGTTGTATAGAAAATATGATTATTTTATTATTATATCAAGAGACGGGACGAACAAGTCGTTAAGGTAGGCTACACGCCTGTCCATAACAGATACAGTGCAACTCAGAGCTTTAAATCGCAAAAATATGAAGGACACTGCCATTGCTCCCGTCACCCAGAAACAAAAGTTGACAAGTATCATGTGCCTGTAATTTCACCAGCACCCCCACCCTTCACAACCGGAACACAGTAATGTGACTATTACTATTACTTGCTTGGCGGTAGAAATAGGTAAGGTGGCAGTGCTTCCCTGGACGAGCTCTTTCACAAGGAGCTCTACTGCTACGTATTTCTGTGATTTATGATAGATTACGTACGAGAAGTCAATAATATTGTGTATAAATAAACACTTACAAATAAAGGACGTTACTTACCCTTACTCTTCAAAACTGGAACACAGTAATGCTAATATCACTTGTTTGATAGCAGAATTAGGTAAGGTGGCAGTACTTCCCTAGAGGAACTCTTTCACAAGGAGCTCTACTGCTACTAAATGAATGATTAAATGATTATAGACTTGAAATGTGACATTGAAAAGATTTGGAGTACTTGCATCTTGAACAATTAGTTCCACAATCAAACAACAAATAAACTGTCTTAAAAAGTATTGTTTTGTTTTCGAGTAAACGCAAACGATCTTTATTTTGTCCTGAAAATATTTAAAAAATGCTAAATTTCCAAACTGACCACCCTTTTCCGTTTTATTATATGTAAGATTTCGGCGATAACTTGCTTTTATTGCAGCGAAAACTACATTAATCTTTCTGAAGCATCACAATTACTAAAAATCGTCATCAATCAATAGCATTCTCTCGCCAGTTAAGGTGACAACGTCTTAAGACTGTATAAAATAGACTGAATGGCTATAAAAAGTGGCTGGAAGTAACAAAATTTAAATTATAAGTAAAAACACCAATTAAAAAAAGCATACCTATATACCAGCATACCTACAGGTATGCTGAATCTTCAACAAAAAAATTTATTTAACAGTTATAGTGTTTTTAGGTTTTTGAAATTGGAAATGGAACTTTGGTCAAACAAGCCGGCTAAATTAGCCGTGATCATGAACATGTAAAGGCCTCAACACACTGGTTTCTTTGAAATAATATTTTTTATGGTAGTACGTGACGGGATGAACAAGTCGTGCGCCTGGTGATGATAGTGCTTTAAATCACAGATATCTGAGGGGCACTGCCACTGACCCGTCACCTTGAGACATAAGACAAATAAGTCTCATGAAAATTTACGCGATTTAGAGCTGAAAAAAATAGTTTCCAATTGATAAACATAGGCAGAACATAAAGTAAATTACAAAGCACACTCCGTTAAAATATCATTAAAAAAAGTTAATATTATTTTGTTCCTTACCCTAATGAAAGATAAAATGTTTTAACAAAGCTAATGGATACCGCCACTATCTGCATCGAAATTTATCCAGTATCGCATAACGGGTCCAGTAAAAATATGGTCCAAAGTATCTAAGTCATCTTCCTTATTACATTGAATACCCTAATGCATCAAGTTATATCTAGAGAAGCTATACATCATTGTAGCCGGCCTCTGAATAAAGCACAGGACATTTATCTCAATCCATTGGGTTGAAAACATCCCTGAAGCCTGATCGATCGCGAAATGAGAGAGGGGGCGATTAATAATAAAAACGGCACAGACCTTTGATAACTCGCCACTTGACATATTGTCCTTAAGTTTGAGGAACAACCTCTACCGTGAGTGTTAATAGCCATTTTAGGTTGCATAAAATATTTATATTTAGCAGTAGGGTTTCTAGTGAAAGCATTCGTCTGAGGAAGAACTGCGTTCTAATTTTGAAGTGTAAGGTTGCTGGATTTGTCAACTTACGTCACAAGGCGACGGGCGCAGTAATTATACTGCGCTCGTCGCCATATTATTATCGTCGTCGTATTATTATTATTACATAATAATAGCGCACACACTCAACATAGCCCCACACTAGGGTAACCCTGTGTCACGGGTGCCATGGACACACGCATAGACAACCACAAATTACGCCCAAACTCGCGAGATAAATAAATGTAGACCATACAAATAGTTTTCCCGGCCCGGGAATCGAACCTGGGACTTCTGCGTGGCAGTCCGACATGGTAACGGTTCGGCCACAGAGACAGTTAAGTGGCAGTCCCTCTCAGATCTTTGTGATTTAAACTCTGAGTGGCACTGCAACTGTTATGGATAGACGTGTCGCTTACCACCACTGCACACCCGCGGTTTATTCATGACGTCACATGGTATATAAAAAAGGCAAATGAAACCATTGAAATGTATTCGATAGTTTGTACAGTATCAAGAAGTAGAATTTTAAAGGGTTTTTTGATAGTAACCCAAGCTCAACGAAAAAAGAACATCAGATTTCCTTGTATGTCATAATATTTACGCTGGGATTTAATATTTTTAGCATATTTTACGTTTAATATATCCAACGGAAACTACGCGAAAAATCACGCCCTTCGATGTGTTTATACCATGTTTATACGCAACGGAACAATGTTAATATTACGATGATGACTTGAAATAATTGCTACCTAAGTAATATTAATAACGTAAATTGAAAATCATTATTTTTAATTATAACATTAAGCGACGGGACGAACAAGTCGTGCGCTTGATGGTAAGCTACACGCCTGACCATAACAGGTACAGTGCCACTCAGAGCTTTAAATTGCAAAGATCTGAGAGGCACTACCACTGCGTCCGTCACCCCGAGACATGAGTTGACAAGTCCCATGTGCCTGTAATTTCACCAGCACCCTTACCCTTCAGAACCGGAACATAGTAATGCTGACATTATTGCTCGGCGGCAGATACAGGTGAGGTGGCGTACTACCCTGAATGTACTCTTTCACAAGGAGCTCTACTGCTATATAATTATTAAAAACAATCAAATTATTAAGTATGTGTGTTACCGGCAATGTACGCAATCCGGTATTCCATACATTATAGAAAACAGTCAATGTATGAAATAAACTGTAATATAAACTTGGTATTCTATACAACGTCGAACGTAAGTTATGGTGAGATGACAATCTGGACATCATCTAACTTACGTTCCATGTAGTTGCACAAAGCAATGTGATAATAATAAGTTTATGTATGTTTTCACG